TCCGGGCCACCCAGATTGGGGAGGAGGCGACCAAGTACGGCCGCCCGCCCCCCCGCACGTCTGGCGGTCCCGGCAAGGTGGCTCTCGAAGCTCCATCGGTCATCAAGTGTCAGTCCGAGATAATTCATCTCCCGACCGACCCTGACGAGGGTTGCACCCACAGTCAGGGTTAATCCCTCGGGCGGCTTGCCGTGTGTTCTCTTGTGGAACACTACGGCCTCGGTCTTACCGAGTGCCACCTCGAGGCCCTGACTGCGGATGGAGCCGATAACTGCTCCCGCTGCCACCTCTCCTCTGGAGAGGGACTCCCCCCAATTGCAGCCCCCGGCCGTCACGAGCGTGTCGTTCGCGTAGCAGACGACGTGACAGTCGGGGGGGAGGGGAACCTGTAGCACCGAGTCGTACCCCAGATTCCAAAGGAATGGTCCCAACACGTAACCTTGGGGCACTCCTCGGTGCAGTCTCTCCCGTCGGCGTACTCCGCCTTGGTCGATATATTCGACCCACCTGTCCCTTAGGTAGTCGCTCACGACGCGGATGAGGTACGATGGTACCCCGTGGCGTCGGAGCGACTCCCTGATATGTCTCCAGGGGAGGGTGTTGAAGGCGTTGGATATATCTAGAGATATAGCCAACATCACCCCCCCCCTGGGACGTCATCTCTTCAGAGAGGGCCTGAACGCGCTTAATCGCGTCCATCGTTGACAGACCCTCTCTGAATCCAAACTGGGCCCCGCTGACGTTGGGGCCCGTCTGGGACAGGTGCTGGGCGAGGCGGTTAACGAGCAAGCGCTCAAACAGCTTGCCCGCCTCGTCCAGAAGGCATATAGGCCTATACGCCGACGGGAGAGAGACATCCTTCCCCTCCTTCTGAAGGAGTACTAGTATAGCACTCCTCCACTGCGGGGGGAAAGTCCCTTTCCTGTAGCACGCGCTATATGTGCGTGCATAGTGCTCCGCGAGGACGCCCATGGGCGTGGACCTTCTTGTGAAGGCCGTCAGGACCCGGGGCCGTGTGGCCCCTGAGGCCCTTCCTGACGGCCTTCCGGAGTTCCTCCGGCTGGACATCAAGGGAGTCGTCCCAATCAGGGGAATCTTCCCTCGACTGTAAGAGTGGTCCCCCGTCCTCCCCGGTATCGTCGGGGAAGAGGGTCTGTACCACCCTTTGGACGAATCCCACGTCCAGCCGCTCCGTTAGCGGGGGCGCCCATGGTCTCAGTTTCCCGAGTACCATTTTGTAAGGGCGCCCCCACGGATCTTCTTGAAGGGAGTTGAGGAACTCCGTCCACGCCCAGCCTTTCGCCACTTTAATGGCCTTCCTGAGGGCCACCTTTGCCGCAAGGTAGCCCTCGTTCTCCTCGGCCACCTGCTCGCCCCTGCGCCTGCAGCGGGCCAGTCTCCTCCACTGGTGGACGGCTCGTCGACGCAAGTCGGCGATTTCATCCGTCCACCAGTAGACGGCCCGCCGAGGCCGAGTCTTGGAGCGGGGCATCGCAGCGTTACACGCTGCTGTTAACGTTGCCCCGATCCACTCGGCCTCTTGCAGGGGGTCCGTCTCGTGGGTCTCGGGAAAGGTCCCCCGGACCCAGCAGGCGGCCTCGATGGAGGCCATCAGGGCGTCCTCGCGAAGCCTTTTGAGGGCCCACCGCGGTCGCGTCTCTCGGCGGCATCCGAGTGACGCGAGAACACCGAACTCCACCGATATGTACCGGTGATCCGATAAGGTTTCGGTGTCCCGCATCACCCTCCACCCGGTGATTAGGCGCGCGGCGGAGGGGGTAGCCCAGGTGAGGTCTATAATGGACCTCCCCTGCCGCCGCACGCAGGTGGAAACCCGGCCCTGGTTGACCAAGACCAGGCCGAGCGCCGCCGCCCATCTTTCCAAGGCCTCGCCCTTGCTATTAGTTCGCCGGCAACCCCAAGCCGTACTCCAGGCATTGATGTCCCCGGCGACAAGGACCGGCTTCGGACTCGAGCGTCGAACAGCTTGCTCGACGTCCGATACCCAGCCCTCAAAGTGGACGAGGCTCTTGGTGGGTCTCAGGTAGACCCCCACGACCGCGATGGGCCCCCATTGCACGACGACATGTCTGTCATCTCTTTCCAGGGCAGTCGTGATGGGCGCGCCCTGCCACGACCGCCAGTACATGGCGACAGTCTTCTCTCTACGCCCGTCCAACCAACTCGGGTGGTTGGGCGGGACACGGCCTGGTTCGGCCACCACCGCCAACGTGTAGCCCCCCTCCGCCAGGGTCTGCATAAGCAGGTCTTGCGCCCTGGGGGAGCGGGCCACGTTGGCTTGTAGGAGGCGAACCCTTTTATTATCCGAGGGGTAGAGGAGCCGGGCATTATTGCTCCGTGTTCCCCCCCTCCAGAAGGGGTTCGACCTCCATTGCCACGACCTCAGTGGCACCTGTTACTTTGTCGCGAGGGGCGCGGGGGTTGCGCTGCGGGAGAGGGTTCCCCCGCTAGCGGCCCCCGCCCCTCGCTCCTATCTCCATCTGAGGCTCCGTTGCCTCGACTACGGAGCCGTTGCCGGTTGGTTGCCCTGGCCGCTCCCGGCCCGGCTCCCTCCCTCCGACCACCTTCCGGGAGCAGTTCTTTGCCCCCAGAAGGTGTCCTGCCGGCCT